TTTTGGATTTTTCTACCTGGATTATTGAGCATGCATCAGGACATACAGATTTTATTTTTTACAATTAAAATGGCAAAAAAAGTAACAAAAACAGCTAGATTATAAGGCGAATGTAGAAAACTAAAAACAGGAACATGTCTGCATTGGTCCTTGCCAGGAGTCCAACAGATTTTTAAAGCCACTTAGAGAGGTCATGGTCGAGAGCTTCAGATCTTTTTGTAAGATATTCCAGGAAACAGGAGCGGAGTAGGAGAAGGCCCTTTTGCCAAGTTCAGTCTGCATTGAGGGAACACTGCAGGTAATAATGTCCTGAGAGCGCACGCTGTAGCTGCACTCACTCATAAACATGTAGGAGGAGATGTATGAAGGCAGCAGACCAAGAAGTGATTTAAAGATGAAAATGTACCAGTGGGAGAGTCTGTGAAGTTAATGATGTCCAGTTAACCAGTGAACACAGTGTGCAGTGGTGGGTACGATAATCACAGCTAGTTATGAATCTTAGTGCACCATGATAGACAGCATCCAACATCTGCAGGGTGCTTGTAGGAGCGTTCATGTAAAAAATGTCACCGTAATCAATGGAGGGAAGGAAGGTCACAGATACAAGGTGTTTCCTAGCATTCAGAGTTAGACAGGATCTGTTTCTGAAAAAGAAACCCAGTTTAACTTTCAGTTTCTTTACCAGGTTTTCCACATGGAGCTTAAAAGAGAGATGCGAGTCGACCAAGATACCCAAATATTTATAGGAATCAACAAACTCAATAGGGACACCATTTGAGTATAAAATCGGAGGAAGAACTGCTGGGACCGACTTCCTGTTTGAAAAAAGCATCCCTTTAGTTTTATTGGCATTTAAGACAAGTTTGAGGTAGAACAAATCTGATTAGATGATGTCAAATGCGGATTGCAAAAGCTGGAAAGCCTTAGCAACTGTTTTAGCTCAACAATAAACAACTGTGTCATCAGCATAGAAATGTAAGGATGTGTCAAGGATGCTCTGACCTACCTTACCTATGTAGATTGTAAAGAGGGTGGGTCCTAAGACTGAGCCTTGTGGTACACCATCGTTGACTGTTAAATAACTGGAGGAAGTACCATTAACGATATATATCTCTTGTTTTTTTTCTTTCCATGAAGCAATAACAAAAATATATTTCTGAGTCAAAGCTTTGTCCCAGTTGTCACACAGGCACATTTATTAACAAACAGCTGTCACTGTACAAAATGAGTGTCTAAAAAAATACACTATTTACATACATTAAATAATAATCTTCAGCTGCCCCTCTTTCATGACGTTAGTAAGCGTGTGTGACGCAGCAGGTGAGGGGCTGTGTTTGTATTCAGTAAGGGAGGAGGGGTCACATGCAGTTGGCGCAGACAGGAGAAAAAGAGCTACACAGATTTTCAAGTCTAATAATACTCAATGGTTGCGATAGAGCAATTTTAATTAACCATCGTAAATTGAAATACTCGCAATACATCCAGTATATTTGATACATCGCCCAGCCCTAGCGTTATGTGTAGTGTTGGGAGTTTGAGTTGGGATGAAGCTCAGCTTCATCACACCAAACTTTTAGCTCAGTATTTGTAAAATTAACAAAGTTTTAGTCGTTTTTTATGATTTCTAATGAATTGACTATCTGAGGGTGATAAATATGCAACAATATGAGGCCTTTCTGTAAATGTTGGTTGTTTACATAAATGAGGGTGTGTCAAAAATGATGTTATAATATTGTTATAAAACAGAGGCAGGCAGCATTTCTTTTACAAAGGGCCACATCAAGATGTTTAAAGCAATCACAGGGCCACATTGAGAATTGGAAAATAAATTGTCTTTATGGCAGATAATCTAGAAGACGTATTTCTTATTGTAGCAGAGTTAGCATGCTTTATAAAACAAGTCTTTCCAAAATCCTTTAGGGATATAAATTATATTTTATTATATATTGTTCTGTAAACTGGCTCTTGTGACATATTACACATGTTAGCTTAACATGTTATACATGTTAGCAGAAATATATAAAACAAACTTATATATTTGTGTTTCAAAGTATTTAATGTTCAGTCTAGTTCTGGAAACACAATGACTTAAAAAATGTTTTTTAAATAGTTTTGTGTAAGATGTTTAATTTAAATTTCCTTAAGTCTTGTTGATAAATTGCTGCTTTTTAAAATCTTTATTAAAAAAGGTTTTTTTTTATTTTTTTAACTAAGGATATTGGGAGTCTGATGGAGATTGTCCAAGGGCCACTTTTTGGCCCTCGGGCCTTAAGTTACCCTAGTCTGTTGTAAAAGATGTTGAATGATTGTGCTTTTTTCTGTTTCAGCTCAAATAAAAGAGCACAACTGGTCTCCACTGGCCTTTTGACACTTCCTGGTCGTCGTAAAACATATCTACTAAAATGTATGCGACATGGAGTCTGAAAGAAGAGCGATAAGATCCCAATGATCAGCCAGAAAAGGATGAGCGATGGAGAACCTGTCTGTGAAAAGAGAAAGATTGGGTGCCACGAGCGCTCACGGGGAGGATTCTCTTTTCTAGGATGGTCAGAGACCGTCTTGACGGAACAGTAGTACAGAACCGAAACCAGAACCACGCAGCCGAGGAGCAGAGGCAGAGTCCCAGCTCAGAGGAAGCAGCCGCACCGGAGAAACCCCAGAGCTCAGAAAAGGTTAAAGCAGAGAGCCAGGAGCCCCCGGAGAGGCAGCTGAACGTTCTGCTCTGGGACAAACCGAACCATGAGGAGAACCCTGCCTCCTGGAGCGCGGTCAGTACCGGCTGTTTACCTACCTTAAATCAACTGTGCGGTTTATTGCCGTTATTGCTTTATTTTATTTTTTTTAATGCAGAACAGAAATCAGGCGGCTGACCTGAAAGGAAATTTAGGACTAGTAGAACTGCTTATCTAACAATACAGCTGTGTGAAACGAAGAGGCACAAAGTAATAAAACTATATATTTTTTGTAAAATAACTTCCTTTAAATGGGCAGCACGGTGGCGCAACTGGTAGAGCTGCTGCCTCTCAGCGAACAGGTCCCTGGTTCAAACCCCGGTCCAGGGGCCTTCTGGGTGGAGTTTGCATGTTCTCTCCGTGCATGCGTGGGTTTTCTCCGGGTACTCCGGTTTCCTCCCGCAGACCAAAAACATGCATGTTAGGCTGATTGGTAACTCTAAATTGTCCCTAGGTGTGAGTGAGAGAGTGAATGGTTGTTTGTCTCGTTTGTCTCGTTTGCCTCTATGTGTCCCTGTGATGGACTTGCGACCCGTCCAGGGTGTACCCCGCCCCTCGCACAGTGATTGCTGGACATGGGCACCAGCGACCCCCGTGACCCAAAATGGAATAAACGGGTAAAGATAATGGATGGATGGATGGATGGATGGAACTTCCTTTAAATAATAACAATACTACCATTAGACTGTTGATGCAGTGTAGCTCGGACTTTATTTCACTGATGCAACCAAACATGGTGATCTGATTAATCATCTACATTACTTGAAGGGGATTTTCCCAGTCAAACATAGTTTATCTGTTATGTATAATAAAAATATACAGTTTTAGCATAAGTTGAGTCACACTTATTAATAAGATAATAAAAAAAGACATCTGGCAACATCTGTACAATTGACTGCGTTTTAGCCTTTTTTTGTGTTGGGTGGTCATCTTGAATTGGATTGACTCTAAAAATTAAAAAGTTAGACGTAAGTTCATATGGATAATGACAAAAAAGCAACAACAACAAAAAAAATACATCTTGAAATAATCTAAAAGAGTAGGCCCAGGGCTTAATTTGTAAACTGATCGATGACGGAACGCAAATAACTTGAGGCCCGATGGTGGTGGTGGGGGTGTCTGGGGGTCCTCCCCCAAAAAATTTGAATAAATTTTATACGATTTCCTGCATTTTGGTGTATTTTAACGGGTTGTTAAACATCTACCTTTACCTACATTTGTAAACACTCCTCTTCTGTCAAGCATCCTGTTATTTTGACAAATTAGTGCCATTGTTTTGAGACGTAATGTGAATAATACACACAAAACATTTGTCTTGTATTTTTAATAAATAATCAAAATTTTATTAATGACCCACTTAAACTGTGTAACTGATATGCAATTTAGTTATGCTGTTTAATTATATTTTTGAGTTTTTTTTAAATAAAATTGCGCAGTGACTTTGGATTTTTAGGGCAGAGATTTTTTAAAGGGTAGAAGCGGAAATGCTTACTTGAAGGGGCACGTACGTGATATTAGGAATATTGTAGCTGTTGTGTTTAAAATGAGTGTTAATGTTAATATTTTCAGTTTACATTTCCAATAGAAGTTTTATTCGTTCAAGGCAGTCAAATTTGTTCATAACTAATATTAGTAAGTCTGAGAGTTACCAGATCCAAGCAAACAGTTACCAGAACGCACCCTGTCAAAATAAGAGAGTTCCCGGATCCTGTTCTGGCAGGATCCGGCTCAAATTAAGTCCCGAGTAGGTCAGTCATAATTCGTCTGGTTAGCCTTTAGTCATATATCTCAATTTAAAAATGAGCTAAAACTGTTCAATAAAAAAAATAAAACTTTCAAGATTGTTGTTAAATTAAACCAGAAAGTGGGAAATATAACAAAAGAATAAATTTAAGTGCAGGTATGTGCCTGCACATAGGTAAAGCAGGCCACTGTCTATTCAATGAGCGTATTTTGAAATTATATTTTGGTTTAAATTTAATATAACACCAATGATTATCAGTAAAACAAAGACAAATTAACATGTTTTTTTAATATACATTTTGAATGAGACATTATTTTCTCAAATCAAAGACGACAAAAAATTAAAACCTTTTTTTTTTTTACACAGTAGTTATACCTTTAGAATGCACAATAAAAACAATCATAAAAGCAATATTTCTACTCCTGCAGACATAAAATATGCATTTATACAGAAAACAATGAAATTGGACCCAAGCACACTATTTGTTTTAATTAACGGCTGCAGATATGTCGGGTTCAAGACGTCTTCATTGTGGAGGTTTCACATTTATATCATTTATCTAAGTTCAGACGTGGACTTTGAACCTAAATACGGAGCGTTTCATCTGCATGTTTATGGTACAAAGTTTTAATGCTGTTCAGAGTCATGTCGTTCCTTACTCTACTGTCAACAGTGAAATACAAAGACTTTAATAAGAAACTAAAAATCAGAAATAGGCCAAAGAGAATAAAACTAAAATCTGAACTTGGTTTGGGAAAGTGAAAGTATTTTATTTTCTCTTCAGTGTGTTTTCTGTTAATGTTTGAATCATTACTGTTTTTTTTTTTTGTTGTTTTTTTTTTTGTGGGAAGTTGCTTTAGCATTCCTGAGTTCTGTTTGTGTGGAAAAAACGCCACAAAAACTTGAGAGTAGAAGAAAAAAGGAGAACGTGAGGGAAATGCTCAGTGAAAAAGCATTTTATTCAGTTCAATTCAGTTTATTTATATAGCGCCAATTCATACAAACTTGTCTCAGGGCACTTTACAGAAACATCCACATACTTAGATAAACCAATTAGTAAAGTTCTCTACCTAAGGAGGCCAGCAGACTCGTTGAATCTTCACTTCCTTGCAGTCTCCCATTCTGAGCAAGCACAATGGCAACAGTGGAAAGGAAAAACTCCATATATCAACCATCAAATAGGCACAAACTGTAGGATAGGTTTGTTGCAATCTTTTGTGTTTTAAGAACATTTAAATATAAAATTAAATTCACTAAAAGTTTTAAAATGACAAATATAACATGAAACTGTAGGAATTTGTTTGGACCCGAGTGTGAAAATATTTCCTCTTTATTGATTCAAATGGACATTAAGATGCATCTTTGTAGTCAAAGAGGTCTGGTTGCTACAAACATTCGTTATGACCGTTGTCACCTATCGCCATGAAACAGGAAATTCATGGATGGATGGATCCATCCACCCCAAGGCTGAGAAATTCTGGGATTACAGCAGCTGTTTGTAACAAACGGCAAACAAAAATATACACATGAAAAATAAGTAGAACAGCAATAGATATTGACAAGAAAATACTAATAAATTAAAACTGAAGATCAAAAAGTGTATGTATAGATTTATTTTTTTATTTTTTTTTAGGACATCTTTTGGTATACACTTGACTTGTAGTTCTTTTGGGGACTTCTGGTAGAACTCCATTTTTGTGTTAGCTGTTAGCTTTCGGCTGAGGTGTGGATTGAGGTTAGGGTTAAGCACATATTGGTAATGGTTTAGGGTACATGTCAGGGTTTGTGTAAATAGTAGTCAATTCACTGGTCTATTTGGGATTAAAATGCAAGCTTTTTTACAGCCATGAAAGTACAAACAGACGAGTTTAGTCTGTTAGTTTAATAGTTGGGTTTTTTTCTGGGTTGGGATCTGTAATTACTGTTAATTCGTCGGGTGGGGTTCGGAAATTATGACTGCGGGCTGGGGCCTGGTCAGATCAGATTTTTTGGGCCCGAATGCAACTCTATCTGGCAGTAAAGCTGAGCTCATCTTTAACCATTATTTCCACTTGATAATCCTGTCAAAATAAAATACAATAGTATTCTTCAAGTTGTGTCTCTTTCCTTTGTTTTGTTTTAAGAAGTGAATAAATGGAAAGTGTGGTGTCAGAAAATATCCCAGACTGGAATAACACAATTAAAAACATCTTAGCATGTCATTACCTACCTGTTTTTTTTTTTTTTTAAGAAAGACTTTTGCATCAATTCTTCATATTAGCTAATTTTAGCAACACTTTGAATTTATAAAAACTACTGCCCATCACTAACCTACAACTGATTAACTTTTAGAGTCAATCCAATTCAAGATGGCTGCCTCTCCTAATCCAACATAGCAAACTCAAATGTGGCTATAACTCAGTTTTGCAGATATTGTAACAAAATTTGATGGGGTAGTAGCTGTGAATCATTCCCCACACACACTCTGAGCTTCAGCAGATAACGCAAGATCTGGAAAAATAGCGATAGAAGGTTCATGCTGCCATTTTCCAGATTTATTCAAAACAACTCCATAATTTCTCAACAAGAGATTATCTCAATTTTAAACATGCTTTCCTTTATAGAATTCTAGAACTCTTACTAATTCACTATTTTCACGATACATTGATTGACTATTTTTATTAATATTTTTACAACCAATCTCTGGATTTTTTTGTCAAAAGTCTTGCTGTCGACAGAAAACAGTTTGATTTATGTGTATAAAGGAATACTAGATTGCATCCTGAGCCCACATGAACTGTTTTTTTTTTTTTACTCTTTTTCTCCTGTAGCCACTGACCGGCGCCACTGTGAACAGCTGGCCCTCACACCTCCCTTCATTTAGCAGCAGAGCCGAATATCAACTGGTGAAACACACCTACCAGCAGCTCCAGCACAGTGGTTATTACTGGGGACCAATGACCATGGAGGAAGCTCATGAAATGCTCTCACACACATCACTGGGAACTTTTCTCCTCAGGTAATATTACAGTTCTTTTGACTCAGTCTTTTTATTTTATTTTTATTTTACTGTATTTGTTAGTCTGTTGCCATACTAACATTAAAAATGTTGATCTTTCATCATTTCTTTACTCTTTTCTAAAACTTTAGATGTTTCTGCTTGACTCCTTTGATCTTTTTTAAGCCTTATTTTTTATTCTTTTTCTCGAGCGTCATTCCTCCTATAATAATGTTAAAATACTTCTTTTAATAATTTTGGGGAAGTTCTTTTTGGTGTTGTTCATTGCACCTTTGCTCATATTTGTTAGACTTTAGTCTTTTTTTTTTTGACAACCATGTGCTAGAATTATTATCCTTCACAGTTCAGATATCGTACCCAGGGCTTAATTTGAGCCAGATCCAACCGTAACAGGATTCGGGAACACTCTTATTTTGACATGATGCATTCTAGTAACTGTTTGCTTGGATCCAGTAACTCTCAGGCTTACTAATAATAAAGTTATGAACAAATATGACTGCCTTGAACGAATAAAACTTATACTGGATATGTAAACTGAAAATAATTACATAAACACTCATTTTAAACACAACAGCCACTTACGAGCATGTGCCTCTTCAACTAGCATTTCCGCCTCCACCCTTAAAAAAAATCTCCGCCCCTAAAAGAGTGGTGGGGGTGAATGCTGAGCTAACCAGGCAGTTGTACGCAGGCAGGAGCCCACTGGCAGGAGCCCACTGGCAGGAGCCCACTGGCAGGAGCCCACTGGCAGGAGCCCACAGGCAGGAGCCCACAGCCAGTCACGAATAGATGGAGGAGAAATTTTTATCCATGACCAGGTGCAATGGCAGAGACAGGGGTGGCCAAGGCCACCAAAGATTAATCCTTAGCCCCACAGCTTCAGCTCACAAGGGCCACCCCAATAACTTGAGAACACTATACTTAATGCTTCCTATGCTTAATAACAAATGATAGGGGTGGCTGGTTTACATATAAAGCGGGAGCCATCTTGGATTTTGATGTAGCAATTCAATTTTTGATAGTGACCTTTCTTACACATAGATTCAGCCATACAACAAAAATTGAAGTCAATGCCTCCCTTATTTTCCAAATTATCATGCTCACAACATGCATGGACACATTGGCGTAGGGTATTTTCAATTCACTATCTTTGCTCTGTGATGGGAACAAACATAAAGGCTTAGCATTGCTTGAAAGAATGCATTGCCAGCTGCTTTTCATGCCTGAGTTTTAGATAAGACCATCTTTTGATGAGAAGGGACTGAATAGTAGACGTTTTGATCAAACCTTGAAATTGTTGCTGATTTCATGTGATATCGCAACATATGCTCAGAGTGTGACTTGAATGACTCTCAGCTACCACACTTCATTTTACCTCAGTATCTGTAAAGTTGGCTGAGATAAATGACGTTAAGATTCAAAGCAGTCTGCTGGCTCCTCAGATAAATAACATTATTAACTTACTTTGAATGTTTCACTTCAGTGCCTTAAGATTATTTCTGTTGTGACTTGACGCTATATAAATAAACTGAAGTGAATTGAATTGGACAAAGCCATTTTTATCCATGCTAATGTCAGTTCACTGTGGCAGCCATCATTAACTGAGTTGAAACGTGACTCCGTTTTAGCTGTACATGCAATGACTACCTGCTGAGGATTTCAAAACCCATCCAGTGCTTCATAAAATATTTTGGCAACAGACATTGTTGATGGCAAACTTTTACTAACAGATCTTTTCTGATCAGTTAGTTATCTGAGTATGTGTTTGTGACAATTGCAGCTATACCCAGATATAAGGATCAAGGAGAACAGAGACTCAGAATCAGTTTACAAGGTGAGCTATAAGAAATAAGCCAGGGGAGGGACTGGAACCCCGAGGAGCAGAGAGAGGGTTAAGAGTCTTGGACATCAAGGGTGATAATGATGTTGCAGTTCATTCTTATGTTGGTGGTTGAGGTCAGTGTGGGGAGAGTTGACCCAAATAGTTCCAGGCAAAGGAGGTTCAGGAGAAAGGCAAGTGGTAGGAAGGCGTGGGGGCAGCTGGTGAGGCAAGAGGAGGATTCAGAAAAACAGGACATCAAAGGTAACATGATGGAGACATGAAAAAAAAAAAGCACAAGTTATTAATATTGTGCTTTGACCACAAGTAGAAGGCTACAACAAGACTACCGTTGGCAGGTAATGCTCCAGCGCTGGCTGAGTGTCTTCTGAGGCCTCTTAAACTCCTCATGCTCATCAAGTCGCACGATCACAGTTGTGGCTAATTAGTCCGACTGTGGGAGCAGGAGCTGGCAGAGCAGAACTCCCACAGTGTTAGGGGTGACTCTCAGTGACTACCACACCACATTTTAGCACAGTATTTGCCAAATTGCCTAGGTTATAGCCTGTTCTGTGTGTTATGGAGCACCACCAAAGGTGAAACAATTAGGCCTGTCACGATAACAAATTTTACTGGGCGATTGTCTCAGAAATTATTGCGATAAACGATAATGTTGATTGAAATTTGACAATAATCAGTAAGAAGAAATGTTTAATTTGTTTTACATGTAATACCTTTTTCGACAACCGGATGGCAGTATAAGACTGTTTGAACTAAAGGAGCTCACAAGTAAGGGAGCGAGCGTGTCTCTTTAAGAAAAATGGGAGGGAGACCCCTTAACGTGACATGGGCTGTCTCTCTTCGGTTCTCAAAATGGCGGATGCTCGGTGTGGTTTGAGCTCTTCAGCATAGCATTTTTCACACAAAGCGTTTAATTAAAAAAAATCAGTAAACAAGTTCTCAGCTTCTTTTTGCAGAGAAAACCTTTTTACATGAAGGCATGGGTTTCAACCGTGAATTTTTGAGTTTCGACAAGACGGAGGTTTTTTCCCCGAGGTCGGCCTGTTAGCTTAACTCGTAGCTTAGCTTCTCAGCTTAGCTGCTTTTAGCAATCCAAAAATGTGATTTTGGAAAAATTGATATTTTTTTTCCATTTCATTTACCCTTTATTTATCCAGGTAGTCTCATTGAGCCACGAGAACTCATTTTCAAGAGAGACCTGTTTAGGTCTTTTTGATTTTAAAGAGAATAAAGAAAGGGAGGGGTCAGTGAAGAGCACCGGAGTTGCGCCTTTTGTCATCCAGTGTCCAGTAGAAAGAGAGACACACGAAGAAACGATAAAGCCGATATGAATGAAAATTCATTTTCATTTATCATGCGATTAATTGATTTATTGTTTATTGCGACAGACCTAGAAACAATGAAAGTGAACTGTGCAGAGAGTGACTTCATGCTCTTGTTGCAGGGACAGCGGTCAGCTGGATGTGTTCTTCACTCTGAGCTATCAAAGCGAAGACGGCCCGACGAGCGTCCGTATCCAGCTGAACGACCTGCTCTTCAATCTGTACGGCAGCCACAGGACTTTTGCCTCACTCTTCGCTCTGCTAGCTTTTTACACCAGCTCTTCTTGCAAGCTGACGGAGCCGTACCGCAGGCAGCGCCCAGAGCGCCTGACGCAGCTGTGCAGGAGAGCATTTATACGCACATACGGGGCAGAAGATATAAACACCTTCCCTGGACTGGACACTCAACTTAAAGCCTACGTGTGTGCATACCCTCACAGTATATAGGCACACCTGTGGATGCAGAGCTTTTTGTGGTAAAAAATTATATTTATATTTGTGTTTGACAATAAACACACATTTTTATAAAAACACAATTTATCACAAACGTGCAGTTTATGAGTATTTCATTAGCAAACTTTTTTTTGTTGTATTGATCACAATTGAATGTTATACAGAGTACGCACAGAACTAAACTGAATTAGATCAGGAAAAGTAAAATAATTCAGCACATATTACTAGTTTTGTTTAAAACTGGATTAATTTAGGTTTGGTTACTGGTACATTTTAGGCGAATAAATAATTTCCTGATTATAATGGATTAATTACATATTTATTTTGCGTAAAAGATAGGATTTTTTTTTTTAAACCAACTGGGAAAAATATTTTCATGCGTAAGCATCATGCAGCTTTAAATTATTTCCTGTACTGTACAAAAAAAATCTGGTTAATGCAGTAATTTATTTAACATGCTCTAGCAGCAGAGTCACAGTTTATTATTAATCTTCTCATTACATGAAAAAAAAATTGGATTTTAATAAAATGTGTAATGTTGTATTTTGTAATTAATGTGTGGTTAATTAGAACAGATGAGACTCAAGAAACTGCTAATCTGTGCCAAATACTAAATTGAACTTTATCACTTTTTTGCCTGAAAAACATTTGTAAGTATTTGATTAAATGTGTTTTGTGCAATTTTATATCTTATCTGCAAGTCACCTACACTTGAAATAAATGTTGTTAGTTACAGGTGCAGTCAGGTTCATGTTTTGTTTTTGTTTTTCTGAAAGTTTGTTCATTTTAAATAAAGATATTTCATTTAATAAAGAAGCTGCGTGTCTAATACTGTATTACTGCTGATGTCAAAAGTGAACTCTAAAGCTCCTGGTTGTGAAGTGGACACTTTGAGATATTATAAAAACTTCCATGTTTTATTTCTAGTCATATTAGGATTATTGTGCTAGCTATGACAGTATCAGTCTATTACGCTTCCACTTTGGTAAAAACTTCAAGGTATATATACTTGATAAATGTAGTCACCATGATCGCTCACTAATTTCTCACAAAAAATTTGTCTCCAAAAACATCAGTTTGTTCCTCACAACAATTCTTGACAAAATAGTCCAGGGGCCAAAATTATATTTTTCACTTTTCGTACCACTTCTGGAGACCCAAGAATTTAGGTTATTTTATCAAAGTTCTTGCTCAATATTCCAGGTAAAAAATCCAACAAAGTTGTCAGTTCCTGTGGATGTTTTTTTTTTTTTTGTTAAAACGTTTCGTCTTTTCATCCAAACGACTTCATCAGTCCAAGAAGCCACAACAAACTCACCTGACTTTGCTGGATTTTCTACCTGGATTATTGCGCATGAACTTTGATGTTTTTAACCACTTTGACCATCGCTGCCTCAGAGGAGTCGATGGGGGAGAGGACGGACTCCAAGAACCATCTTATCACCATCAAACTGGTTGGCCCACTATGTAAGTGTGCTATTTATGGGACTAAGTTTGTTGTGGCTCCTCAGACTGATGAAGTCCTTTGGATGAAAGACGAAACGTTTCAACACAAAGAAACCATCCAGAGGACCTGCCTTAACTTTGTTTATTTTATCTTCCTACATGACTATAGAACACATCAATCTATGATAATCCTTCCTGAAGCGTAGCTTTGTAGTGGTTATCTCTCCACAAACACCCCCCACCCCCTGCGTGTCCAGTATGAACACTAATTTTGCTATAGTAGTTTTAGTATCATATCTTGGGATCATTATCATCACGTTATTTAAAACTTTATATATTTATTAAATATACCTTATTTACAAGGTGACTCGTGCAATAATATACTTGCATCCAAGTTTTAACAAAAGAAATATTTTTACTTTTGCTCACTGTTCATAGAGCCGCCCTTCCAATTTTTAATACCAAGGTATTATAATCATGTCATTAAAGTATGAGTAAGGGTAACAGTGTAGTCTAGTGTTTCTTAGTTCATAGTCTTGATTCATATCTTAGATCTTACTACTGTTTTTCTTTTACATTTTATTGTTGAATGTAACTAGGACCCTGTGTACATAATTTCATTCCACCACATGTACCACATGGTGCGAATGGCAAAGAATATCTGAATCTGAATTGCACTGTATTAGATCTCTAGTAGATCTCTCGCTTTCCATCACTGTCATTCATGTCCAAAAGATCCACTATCTCAAATTCATTTGCTTGGCAGCTGCATGTCTGCAACTTACACGTCTTTGCATTTTGGACCGTTTCCAAGGCATGTACAATAGTCCCTTTTCACATGAAATCAGACAACTTTCGTTCTGACTCGTCACAGTGGATCAGTACATCTGGACTGATGAAGCCTTCTGAATGGAAGGTGAAACGTTTCAGCACAAAAAAAAAAAAAAACTCTCCAGATTACCCGACTGAAAATTGTTGTATTGTATACCTGGATTATTGAGCATGGACTTTGTTTGTTCACACAGGGAGGTACCCAGCCGGGATTCAATCTGGCAACCTTCTTACAATTTCCATTTTGGAGTCAATACAATTCCAATTCAAATTGTCTGACACAGCTAATCAACACTGGCCAACACAAAAATGGCTATAACTCAGACATGTTTACAAATATAGAGCTCAAATTTGATTTGATAGTAGCTGAAAGTCATTCACAAACCATACTCGGTGCATGAGATCACGCATAATGTTATTTTCAAGGTTTGACCAAAATGGTTATAGCTCCAGCTCCATCATTTCTCAGCATAATCTTCATTTTAAATATCAGGATGAAAGACAATGGATGATATGCACTCCTTTAAGGAATGCTAGGTATTTAACTACTGTATAGTAATTACTATACAGACTTGTTCTTTTTCTCAAACTCACAAACTGTACTACTGATAATCATTTGAAATAACCAGACTATTCCAGTTACAAACAGCTGAAAACATTTCTGCTCCTTTTAACAAACAACCTTCAGACACTGTGTCACTATACAAAGTACAACTTGTACATTTTTCTAAATCAAGTTTTCTGTCATTTGTTCCACTTCCTGTTCTAAATCTGACTGACAACGACCCTTTTAGACAAAATTAGCACTGTGCCATAGAAACACACACACACACACACACACACACACAGAATTTTCTAGTTCCTAGTTTATTTCTGTCTCATTAACCTTAAACATGCTGATGTACCAGCAGTGACACACTTTGAGAGAAGTTGCAGATCACCTCTCAACAACATGCATACTTATTGCCAGTAGCAAGAGGTGAAAGACGATCATGTTTTTGCCTCTATGCGTGCATTTGTCTGTTGTGTTAGCAAAATATCTGAAGAACGGCTCAATGGATTTTAATGTAACCCTCAAAAAGGACTCTTTTGATGCACATTTGCAACTGATTACCTTGTGGAGTCAATACAATTCGAGATGACCATCACGGCGAGAAAAACACACACACACACACACACACACACACACACACACACAGAAAGGGGGCTGTAACTTAGTTAAATGTAAAGCCATAAGGCTAAAATGATGTGGTAGTAGCTGAGACAACACTAAGGGATCACACAAGCTTTGTTTTTAAAACTTTGCCTCTAGATATGAAGTCAAACCTGTTAGTGAGTAAAATGTCTTATGAACCATTGGACTGATTTGACTGAAACTCTTAGAGAGCGATCATTAGGTGCATGGTCAATCTATGAGTAACATCATGCAAACAATTCTCAAGATCTTGCATGAATCTGTTCATATCATTTACAAGCTTACATTAATATGGCTTTAACTCCTTTCTCAACATCAGATGATCTTAGTTTAAAATAGTGGCATTCCTTTAAAGAACACTAGGTCATTTTTATTATTTTTTTCCTTAAAGAGGGCCTTAAAGACATTACATCTCCATTCTCTACTGCTAATTTGCGGTCGAGTTGCTTAGGCAACAGGTCCAGGAGAGATCACTCTACTCAGCGACACTCAACAGCTCCACCACTGGGACCCTAAGGCATTTCAAGACCAGAGAAGATACAGAATCCCTCCAGCGAGTTCTGGGTCTGTCCCAGGGACCTCTTTCCAGTGGAACATGCCCGAAGCACCTCCCAGGCCAATCGACATGTCCTGGGCCTTCCTCGGTTCTCCTCCAAGTCGGACATGCCCAAGCACCTCCCTAGGGCGGCGGGAGCATCCTTACCAGATGCCTGAACCACCTCAACTGGCTGGATGTGGAAGAGCAGCGGTTCTACACTGAGTTTCTCCCAGATAACTAAACTTTTCACCCTGTCTCTAACGGAGAGTCCAGCTACCCTGCAGAGGAAACTCATTTCAACTGCCCGTATCCACAATCTCATTCTTTCGGTCACTAGAGCACCAGAGCTTGTGACCATAGGTGAGGGCAGGAACGTAGACCGACTGGTAAACAGAGAGCTTTGCCTTACAGCTCAGCTCCCTCTTCACCACAACGGACCGGTACAGAGTCCGCAATACTGCAGATGCTGCACCAATCCGTCTGCCAATCTCACGCTCCATTCTTCCCTCAGTCGCGAACAACCCCCCGAGACTCCTCCACTTGAAGCAGAACCTCACCCTCAAACTGAAAAGAGCAACCCGTCCTTTTCTGGTTCAGGACCATGGCTCAGAGTTGGAGGTGCTGATTCTCATCCCAGCCGCTTCACACTCGGCTGTGAACCGCTCCAGTGAGAGCTGAAGATCACGACACGATGACGCCAACTGGATCACATCATCTGCAAAGAGCAGAGAAGGAATCCTGAGGTCACTGAACCGGAATCCGACCTCTGGCTGCACCGAAAATTCTGTCCATAAAAGTTATGAGCAGAAGGATTCAAGGATTTTTATTGTCATACCAGCTCACATTTGCATGTTTGTGGTACAAAATTCGGACTCAGGTCCTAGATCAAGAAGCCTGACAATTAAATAAATAAATACAAAAGCGTATAAACATGTACACACACACACACACACACATGTGTGCGTGCACGCATAAATAAATAAA